AAACACTTAAGCAACCCCGGCCAACCAAAATAGGGCCGAGATTGCACACAAATGGAGACGAGCATATTCGCTCGCCAAATCAAAGCCACCTATGGGCACTCCTCGGGCCCGGGACTTGAGCTAAATTCATACAAGCATGTGAGTTCATACAAGGGCAGAAAATCCAAAATAAATAACAAGGTATAAACGCCCGAAGGCAACAAAGCAATATTAAACCGACCAAGAAGGCCGGCGGTGTTCAAAACATGCAATAAACGGGCACGCAGGCCCAAAGAATACGAATACAAATAGCAAGGGCACGCAGGCCCGCTATCCAAAGAATACAAATATCAAACTTCCACATTATCATCATTGTCGACGCTGGGAGAGTCGGGCGGAGGAATGATCGCGCCACCTACAACCCGGTGTGTATGACCGATACCCTCGGTGACCAGGCCAGGGTTTAGCAATGAGAGTTGGTCGACTGCAGAATTGAACCCGTCTTCCAGAGCACCGACGCAGTCCGCCTCGAGGAGCCGGATATGGGCGATAAGCTCAGCCCGACTCTTCAAAATCACTAGGTCCTCGGGCTCATCTTCGGCAGGTTGCTGGACAGCATTCAGTTCCTCAACCTGTTTACCCAGGCGTTCGACTTCAGCAGCCAAGCGATCCCTGTCGATCCGGAGCAACTCCCCTTCCTCAGTCAACCTCCCCGACTTCTCCTTTTCCAAGGTCAGCATCTCCCTCTCGGCATCAAGTATCGCGGTCTGCTCTCGGAACATCCCCTCGGAGCGTTCCAGAGCGACCTTCAACTTCCGCGAGCTCGCAGTCAAGGCCGCCTTCTCCTGCTCGAGCTCTTCAACGCGAGCAGCATCCCCTGCATCCTCAGATAACACCAGAGCCATTTCGGCCATTTTAACCAGCCCGTCCACGCTGGCGGCCAGATAGGCCTTCCTTTCCTCCTTACTCATCTTCTTTATGGCCTCAGCTTCATGAGCGACCACTGTCGGAGGGAACCGCTCGAAAAAGCCCGCCTCTTCGAAGCAAGGGGGGAAGGCAAAAGATTGAACAGCTCCGGAATCCTCCCCGACAGTCGAACCGCCTTCCACGCGGGTCCTCTTCCTCTGCGTCAAAACGGCGCTGGGGTCAATCTCCTCGACCTCTGGATCTGACGCTGCTCCCGAGCTCGACGTCGAATCCACCCTCACCGACTGAGGAGCGTTCAGACTTGGTGGTGGTCCCATTCTCGTCGTCTGCGGGGCCTGCACGACCCTCTTGCCTCGCCTCTGGCCGGTTGATAATTTCAGGAGCCTTTCATGACGGCTGGCCATCGTACCTGCACGAAGTAAAGGAAAAGTCAGTATCGAGCAAACCGCGTAAATAAATGACGAATAAAGAATTTCAAACAAACAACCTAACAGGCGGGCTGCCTGCCTATATGTCGAACATTCCACCAGCGCCTTGGTGTCGATCGGGCGAGACTCGAATGTCGGGTAACCGTCTTTGTCGAGGATATCATCCCCTTCCCGCGTAACCCATTGGGCGGGATGAAAACTGTCGACAAACCGGCAAAGAGCCTCGTACGACCGCTGATCTTCCGGGCACATGTCCCTGACAGCGGTATGGAAATAACCTGTTCCATGCTCGTAGTGTCGGGACATCCAGTACACCGGGAACTTAGCCCTACGACCTAACACGGGGCTCCCGTCGTCGGCCACCATCGCTTCCCCGTCATCATCGCTGACCGGCCCTTCCTCCTCGAAAACGGAATCCACAGCAGAGTCGGTAATGGGGCGTACCACATACCACTTGTCCTTGAACCCCCTCACGGAGTCCATATACATCTTAAACAGTCTCCTCGACTGCTTCAGGGACACCCAGCTGTGCTTCCCTCCTCGGGACTGACGCTGCAGGTGAAATACCCGAAAGAAAAGAGGGATGGTCGCCCCTATCCTTAAGTAGCGACACGTCAGCTCAAACGCCCGGATGAAGGCGAGAGAGTTTGGGTGTAGCTGAGACGGGGCCAGCTCCAAATGCGTAAAGACCCCGGTCTGAAAATCTGTGAACGGCAGCCGCAGCCCCAAGTCTTTAAACGCGATCTCATACATCGCAAAGCTGTAGTCCGGGTACATTGAACAAATTCTTGCATTGGTCGACGGAAGCATGACCACGAAATTCTGCTGGAAGTCGGGCTGGTCCTGACCCTCTTCAATAGCGGTGAATGGATGTCGGTCATCCCGACTGTATATCGACGCTGTCCCCCGAGGCTCGACACCCACCCATTCCAGCAATGGGTCGGTCACGGTATCTATTAAGGTGGTCGACTCGTCGGCACTCTGTTCTTCGCGATCACGACGTCTGGAGGAGCTCGGCTCGTCCGCCATGGTTACCTGCAGAGCACGGAAAACCAATCAGTTGAGCACGAAGTCCTATGCTCGACATAATCATGTCGTCCATACACGACTACACAAGTCCGTTTTTACAAGTGGATGACTCCCCGACTTTCCTGAACCCAGTGTTCTTCCTCAAACCAACCGCGCGGCCACTCTCCAAGCATGTCGACCCGAGGTATGAACGTGGCGAGCCGCACTATGAAGCCCACGGCCACGACCATGAACATACCGGGCACGGTCATGAATTAGGCGCCCGGATCATGAAGACCCCGGGCAGCTCGGAAGTTTTTCACCTAAAACTATGAATGTGTCGGCCACAAGTATGCGTTTGCCGGTCCTAGACATGAATATGTCGGGCAAAACACGAATCTACCGGGCTAATCCCACGCGCACGATCCTAAAACATCTACAAATTCCAGGAATCATGCATTCTAAAACGGAAAAATGAGGAAAGTAGATCACTTACTTGGATCAAAGTTGGGATTTGGCTAAGAGATGAAGAATCTGAGACGGGAAGTCACAACTGGGGAAAGTGTTGAGAGCGGCAACGGAGAGAGCACGGAGAACGGAAAACGTATTATGGGGCCCAAGGACCCTATTTATAGTGATGACGTGGAATACCAAACGTCACCTCGTTCAACCACGGACTCCATCTCCTCGACGCACTGCTCCCAACGCAATGATGGCCCTACCCCCCTAGGGTGGCGGCACAACTCCCGAAAGATGCCTCGTGTGCTCGACCGGCACGCCCGGTACGGGTCCTCCTCGCATCCACCGCCGAGGACGTCTCCGAGCACGACACGAGGAGACCCCTCGAGGGTCCACACCTCCATCCCGGGCACGAGACAGCGACAGAACAACTTGGTTTCAAGTCATGGCTCCTCGCGAAGGAACCACGACTTGGGGGGCTCCTGTTCTGGACTGGGCCCGACAGGCCCAAAAGCATTACTAAGGCCCAGTCCAAAGGGACTCACTAAGGACCACACTGGGCAAAGGGGATCGCGTCCATGCCCGACACCCTAATGTCCACCTCGACATCTCGATGTCCAGCCCCACGCGGTGAAGTCATGCTCGACACCCTGCCGTCCGGCTCTATGTCCTGACGTCCAGCTCGACACTCGCTGTTCAGCTCGAGGTCTTGGCGTCGAGCTCGGCACCGTGCTGCGCAGCTCGACATGGTCTCGAGCTACCTGGCTAGGGCAGACTCAGTCCACCGTTGCCCCAACGATACTCCGGAAAGACCGCGTCTCCGTCCGCCCGCACTTCACGCAGCACATCCAGGAAGGGGACCACGTGCTGGTCCCCACTACCCACGTAGAACCTGGCAGTTCCTCCATTGGGCCAAATCCGCCCGGCCCAATGAAGGAACCTTGGCCCAGCGCTGAGGGCTATAAATACCCTCTGTTTCCAGAGGGTCAGGTATTGATCATTCTAACCTCAACTCTATTATCTGCTCGTACTCCCACTGACTTTAGCATCGGAGTGCCTTGCAGGTACCCCCCCTCCTCGTTCAAAAAGCCTTCAGCTCGGAGCAAGCCGTGACGGTCCAAACCTTCTGATCAGGTCAGATCAAGACTGAAATATATAACTGAATATAAATTAATACACTATATATAACATTTTTTATTTAAAAGACTAAATCGAAATATTAATTAAAATTAAGAGACAAAAAAAATATTAAACTAAATTTAATCCAAAACAAAATTGACAAGCCACGCGTTTTTGTACATGGTCTTGTTGCAGCACGTGGAAAAGAAGATTCAAAATATCACAATATATTTTTTTTGACAGATATAACTTATTGTATAACCAATAAGAAGAAAACACGTAGACAGTTACCCGGCGTGCACCGTTGGATCTGGTAGTTGCTTTTTTTAATTGCTTTTTCGCTGAATAATCTGAAATTTTCGACGCTTTTTCAAAGAATTGGGGCCACAACTCGGTCTCTCCTCCATTCAAATATCTAGTTAGACGATTTTACCCTCAGCTCTTCTAGCGTGCCTATCCATAACATGTCAGCATTTCATGTGTCTTACCCAATTTACCCTTATTCTAGGTTTCTGATAATCTGGATAGAATCCAAATTGAAAAAGCGTGTGTCCAAAGTTGCGGAAGATAGACGCGACGCAACGCAACGCAAACGTGATTATTTGAATTACACATAACCTCCTATGACTTGATTCAGCGAATCTGATACGTGAATCAACAAACCTATCAAGGCTATAGTTGTAAAATCAACTAAACCCAAAAACAAAACGTGCACACATAACAGGGACAATCAAGTAATTACACCTTTTTCCTCAACGTCGAACTTTCCCTTTTCATCTCATTTGATAGCTTATAAAATCGCGTTTTCATCTTCACTGTTCATTTCCCCATAAATCTCAAATTCAACTTATTTCATTCTCTTAATCATCATCTCTTCAATCTGTAAGTATATTATCAAAATTTTCCATTCCAATTATCTTCAGCTACCAAATTATAACTTAGAATAATCACTTTTTCAAGATCCATTATTACTACTTACCAACTTAGTACTTAGAATAATCACTTTTCAAGATCAATTAATAGCATTCCCAGATTGCTTCATTTTCTGAACTATTGTTATTTGATCATATAAATATTCACATGACTTCTGGTAGCTGTATTGGAATTTCTACCATGAAGCCTTGTTGTAGAATCCTAACTAAATTGTCCCGATCAACCTATTCCAGTTCAATCCATAGTCATAGATACTATAGATGTAAGAATAATACTAAGATTGTAGGTTATATACATGTGACGGATTTGAATCGGAGAGATTTTAGTATTTCCGATTCGAATTGGGGTCACTCGAGGGATTTTAGCACAAGTTTTTTTGTTAAAATTGGTAGTGTTAGACCTAGGGTTGTATCGTTGATACCGAATGTAGCTTCGAATTTTAGAAACGAGTCTACATCGGTTGATTCGAATGTTAATGACAAAAGCTTTGAGAATATTTTCATTCAAACTAGTTTGAATGCAAAGCCGTTGTTGTGTGAAGAAATTGAGACGGATGATCGAAGGAAATTGGAAAAAGAGGATGGGTTAAATGTAAATTTAGATAATAATTTGAATGATTTGAGTGAGGATAAAGTTGAGAGGGAGCTTTCTGAGATTGAAAAGGAAGCTTGGGAGTTGCTTCGGAGTTCTGTTGTTACGTACTGTGGGAATCCAGTTGGGACTGTTGCAGCTAATGATTCGGCTGATAATCAGCCTCTGAATTATGATCAAGTTTTTATTCGTGATTTTGTTCCATCTGCACTTGCGTTTCTGCTTAATGGCGAAGGGGAAATTGTCAAGAATTTTCTACTTCACACATTGCAATTGCAGGTATGTTATGGCTTCAACTACTCATTTAGTTTGTTATTACTTGTTGTTCTTCTGCAATATAGTTTCGGTTGAAGTATTTGTAAATCGGGAATTGTTGGCTAAGCCATTATGCAACTTAATTCACACTTGTTCCTCATTTAATATTTGCCAGAGTTGGGAGAAGACTGTTGACTGCTACAGCCCAGGGCAAGGATTGATGCCAGCAAGCTTCAAAGTTAGAACTGTTGCTCTTGATGGAAGTAATGAAGCATTTGAGGAAGTTTCAGATCCTGATTTCGGTGAATCGGCAATAGGCCGTGTTGCCCCTGTTGATTCGGGTAACTGTTTTTATTGTCGAAACTAAGACATGTACTATCACATGAAAAGCTATTGCACTGTCATTATTTGTTAATATATCATCTTCTTTTCCTCGGAGTCTTATTATCATTTTGTTTTTCAAAATTTTCTTTCACGTTACTTTTAAATCTTACGTGGAAAACTGTTGTTATCAGGATTGTGGTGGATTATATTGTTGAGAGCATATGGGAAATTAACGGGCGACTATTCATTGCAAGATAGAGTGGATGTTCAGACAGGCATAAGACTGATCCTTAAGTTGTGTCTAACTGATGGATTTGACATGTTTCCTTCTCTACTAGTCACCGATGGTTCTTGCATGATTGATAGAAGGATGGGAATTCACGGTCACCCTCTTGAGATACAAGTAAGCTGATTTCTCATTAACAATATTTATAATTCGATTCATGAGTCTACTCATGTGAGTAGATTAAAAAAACACTTTGAATCGGATCACATATCGCGCATTGAGACAGGCATGCAATTTTCAGTCATGATTTGATTCATGACCACACATCCCGTGACCAAATGAAAATTTGCAAAAACACATTTGAGTCAATTCATATGCAGTCTTGAATCGAATCATGAGTTCAAAATCAGTTGATTTGATTCACCAACATTCTTGAGTAGATTCATTTAAGGTTGACTTTAGTGAAACCTACATTTTATGCACGAAAATGGCATTTTGACCTAGTATGAGTGTGGGGTTTCATGAGGAACTAATTATATGATAAATTTAACTAAGACAGGACATCAAAATAGAAATTAACCGATTGTACGCTAATGCAATTTCAACTCTCAATGTTAGGGCTCTTGATCACGTTAAAGTGTTGCAGAGACGCTAGAAATAGTTCAAAAGGGCCTAGAAGTTGGTTGAATACTTTAAGCAGCTATGTACTTTGGCCGCTACCCCTTTCCTTTACAAGCTTTTTTATTAGTCAGTGTGATTACTTAAAACTTGTTCCTTTCTAATTTTTAGTTATAGTTCTGTTTCACTTGCATTATATTGTACAACCCAAGCTAGAAATGATTTTTAACACCTTCCAGAATGCAGGGTTTCGATTATAAATATAGTTTGTTGAAGATTATCAGATCAGTAGTTAGTTAATATTTTGTTAGTGCCTATGAATAGGTTTGATATAATCACTTGTAGAAGACCTTTTTACTCATTTTAATCAAATACCAAATACAATTTTCTCATTATTATCTTTTGCTTATGAACCATGTTTTTTAACTTTAATTACATGCATTGTTATGCTCTTCCATTGTTGGTACTAAAAGGAAAACTCGTGTGCTTTATAACATGATCTCCTGCTCAGTATTTGGAGCAACATCTCCTTTTAGTTAGATAGATTCATTGAGTTATTGAGTAGGCACAAGTGATGTCACGGGTTTCCTGAAAGCTTTTAGTCAAGGTTGCAAAACGAAAGACAACATTTTTCATATTAAAATTTATGAAAGATCACCATTTTAGAGTTTTCACAAAAATGTGCTTTACTGGATGTTGCAACTAATTGCATCCTCTTTATACAATTACTTTCAATTGGAGGTTGTTTTGACATGGTTGATTGTCTGCCAAAGCTTGCACACCCTGTGTCTAATAGGTTAAGTTTTGTCCATGCATTCGGTCATTCTTTCTTGTGTTATGATGGTTCATAAGTCAAAGAGTGATTCATAAATTTTTAGTTTTGTCATCTTATTTGAGTATTTAGATCATGAGTCTCAGAATTGAACTTTGGTTGTCTTCCATCTGTCAATTATGAAGCACGGACACTGGAAACACGACACTGACACCAACACGTCGACGCCGATAATAATTTGAAAAAAATGAATGAATTAAATATAATCACAAGCTTTGGTGTCAATTTCGGACACTGACACGGAATGTTTTTTTTTAGAGGTGTCGGTGCTACGGCGCCTGCAACTGAATGAAGCAATACTAATATTAAATGTAATACGCACTTGGGTCTTGGAGAGACTTAGAATGACTGCTAAAGCTAAATGTATCCTAAAACAAGTTAACATTTTTCATCATTGATTGGATTACCTGTCTGAATGAACATATGCTTCTTTGCTTATAATTTTGTGTTTGAATATGCAGGCATTATTTTACTCTGCTTTACGCTGTTCCCGTGAGATGCTGATAGTGAATGATACAACAAGTAATCTCGTGGCTGCCGTTAGTAATCGCCTTAGTGCTCTCTCGTTTCACATGAGAGAATATTATTGGGTTAACATGAAGAAGATTAATGAAATTTATCGGTACAAGACAGAAGAATATTCTACTGATGCTGTCAACAAGTTTAACATCTATCCAGAGCAAATTCCTTCATGGCTTGTGGACTGGATATCCGAGGAGGGTGGATACTTCATCGGCAATCTACAACCTGCTCACATGGACTTTAGATTTTTCACGCTTGGGAACCTTTGGGCCATTGTCTCTTCTTTAGGTACAACAAGACAGAACGAGGGCATTTTGAACTTAATTGAGGCCAAATGGGATGATATCATTGGTCAAATGCCTCTCAAGATATGTTATCCCGCGTTGGAGGGTGAAGATTGGCGTATAATTACTGGCTGTGACCCCAAGAACACGTAGGGCTCTTTAAATCTCTTGTTATTTTTACGTTTTATTTCCAAAAGAGTAATGCTACAGCCACAATCCTATTGATGCTAACATTCACTAACTTTTCATGTATGTGTACAATTGAAATAAACAGGCATGCAGTCAATGACCCAATAACCCACCATGCATTTTTTTTTTCCATCAAAATGGTTTTGGCTGTTGCATTATTCTTGCTCAATATATTCATATGTTATATGCTTGCGTTCCTTCCATTGGAAGCTACAATAATAACTTTTTTTTCGTGCAACTCCTTGCAGCCCTTGGTCATATCACAATGGTGGATCTTGGCCAACACTTCTATGGCAGGTGAGTTTGATATTTGCTTGGATAATATCATTCTTAAGATGATGATGATTAATATTTTTTTAGTATTTTAGCATATCTCAGAGAAGTTGATCAAATATCTCTTTTAATTGCTGTTATTAATATGAAACACGGACACCGGAAATACAACACCGATACTGACACGTCCGTAATTACAGATGTTGGTGTTGATTTCGGACACGAACACTGACACTTTTTTTTAGAGGTGTCGGAAAAAATTGAAACTTGAAGGTCTATTACTTTTTTTTTTCCTTTCATGCTCTCCTTTTCAATTATGCTTATTATATCAATCCAAGAAACAATTACTTCCTGATTTCGGTCAATTGAGTCTCTATGATTATGCAAGAATGAGAGCTTTTGTCTTAATGAGCTGACACAATGCTATTAAATTACAGTTCACTTTAGCATGCATCAAGATGGGCAGGTCTGATTTAGCACAGAAGGCAGTTGATTTAGCAGAAAAAAGACTTGGTGTGGACCAATGGCCAGAATATTATGATACTAGAAATGGAAAGTTTATTGGGAAGCAATCAAGGTTGATGCAGACATGGACAATTGCTGGTTTTGTTACTTCAAAGATGCTTCTAAAAAATCCAGAGAAAGCATCTTTGTTGTTTTGGGAAGAGGACTTTGAAATTCTTCAGAATTGTGTCTGCATGCTTAACAAAACTGGTAAAAGAAAGTGTTCCCGTTTTGCAGCAAGATCTAAGATTCTTGTTTAATAATGGCATGTCTTCTTCTTCTACAGTCTCTGTTGTTTAATAATAACAGTACTAGAGTTATTACTACTACTACTGTTTGAACTTTGTTTCGACTAACAAGGTGTTGTCACATATACAAAAGTGTTGTTGTTGATACTATAGTACGATGATGGACTTCACTTTTCAGAATTTTATCTGTGTAACAGAGTTCTGTAACATCATTCCACGTAGATGCATGTTCCCCTACTGTTTTTATTTTTTATTTTTTACTGTGACTGCATGTTCCATGTGGCTTCACTGTGTATCTGACTAGAACAATAGTCAAATAATTTTTCTTGTTGAAATAAATAGTACTGATAATATTTATTTGTTTCAAGTTGAAGTCATATGTCATCTATAGATCAATTAATGACATTATCTCTGGTCTAATCTCTTGATTAGAATGTTTCTTAGTTGTAACAAGTTTTATAATGAAACTTTTTTTGAGGAAGGAGGCGCAGAGGAAATAAAACAATTAAACCAAAATCCTGTGTAATCAGAAAACAATTAATTCAAATGTGTGGTACATAACAACCTTAAAAGTAAGGTAATCACAAATCCTAATCTGAAACAATCAATCCTGTATTAGTTGTACAAATAATTAGCGAACCTACTTATGAGCGCGGAACCGATGGTAAAAAAATGAGGCGCGAAAGCTAACAAACACTAAATTTGGATATTTGAAAATGACAAATTAACTCAATAGTCAGTCAACCCCGACGACTGAAGCATTTGTAAGACCGTCCCCAAATTCCGACAGTTCGGGCGACACAAATCACCATTGGAACAACAATCTAGATCACAACTCACCATTGGAACAACAATCTAGATCACAACGAAATGTGAAAATAACCATGATCCATAGGTTTAAAATTCTATAACACCGACGCCTTTAAAAAAAAAGATGTGTTTGTGTTGGACACCAACATTAATTTATTTATTTTTTAAATTAATATCGGAGTCGATCTATCAATATTAATGTCAAATTCAGTGTTTGTGTTTGTGCTCGTGGTTCATAAGTTAAAAACAAAACCACTAGCACGTTTGTGATCACATTATCCAAACACTTTAAAAGAAAATCACCGATTAAGGTCAATTGTCATTTAAATTTTTTTTGCCATCTACCATTAATCAACGACCCGTGGATAGCCCCATAAAAAGTTAAAGAGTGGTGAAGCGGCTAGGAGCGCGCTCACCACCATGAGGTCAAATTTTATCATGAAACAGTTGTAATCTCACTTTTAACAAGATCATAAACTAGAAAGGAAGAGCCATCCAAAAAGTGACACAAAGAACCCCTTCTGAAGTTTGAATTCAAAACATTAATAAGATAAATAAATGTGAAGACAAGAGATATCAGAGAAAGATTGTGATTGATGATTGAAGGCAGACAGGGTACAGAACTGGCAACCATCTATTAGTACTCAGTCTTACATAACTGAACAGTAGCTTTCTTTGCTATGTCAAGTTAACTTTGCAACAAATTTAGGCAAACAAAAGCATACAACCTTTCCTAGGTCCAAAAAGAACACCAAAACATGGGAACAAACAACAACAACCCTGTCCTTTACATTATACAATACTATTATATTAATATTAGTATTGCCACAAACTCAAATTTATGAATACTCATGACATGTTTGCTCTAAAAAGATGAATTCTTGTGTCACCAAGCCTTAGAGAGTAAGTAGCTTTTTTGTAATCGGCCCAAGTAAATTGTCTGAAGAGAGAGGGCCTGTGAGGTGTAACCAAAACTGGTGGAGCAACAATGGAAGCATTTAGAGGTGGAGCCCCAAAATATGCCATTGACATTCTAGATTTGTATGAGTTTGTCATTGCCCTATGTCTCACGCTTACAAATCTTCCATTTGTCATAACCTGTTATCACATTCACAATACACCTATATAATATTAGATTAGACCAAATACATTAATTATTTAATTAATCTAAAAAATATATCTTTTTTTATATTGAGAGCCGGATGAAATAATTGATGTGTCCCGCAATAATATTATGATCCTTATTAGAATAGCTAGCTAGCTTGTATATTTGTCTGAGGTGATTATGAACAGAAAATTGATATTCCAAAAATTCAAAGTAGTAGACATTTAGTCAATAATAATGCATGTCAATTCCTATCAAGTTGAAAAATTTCCCCCCTTTTTTCATGCTAGTGTTGTTGATATATAGATAGATAGAGGAGGCCCCTAGTTAGTGTGAGACCCTCCCTTATCTTATGGTACAAGCAAAGTGAATCAAGAAAAGGATGTAGGGTTAACATGACTTAAAAAATACAGAATCATTTAGCTTTTGTGTTTATTTTCAAAATACGTAAAAAAAAATAGTTACTCTAATATTATATATAAGCAAAATTTTACTTTTTAAATGTATTAAATAACTAATATATCTAAATAATATATAGATCAGATACGTTGATAAATATATACAGTGTCACGCTAAGAAGGAGAACAGGAAAAGTGAGATGTACCTCAAGGACATCGCCAACATTAACACAGAGAGCTGAGGGGTCAGGGTTAATAGGAATCCATAGGCCATGTTGAAGAGAGATTTGAAGACCAGAAACGTCATTAGATCTAAGAACGGTCAAGATCTGAGGGTCAGAGTGCTCCCCAAAGCCAACATTGTTGGAGTGTGACTTGTCCTTGTCCTTAACTAGTGTAGGTGGGTAGTGATTGAGCCTAAGAATAGAGTCACTATCAATATCCTTAATTAAACTGCTGAATACCTTTCTATCAGGGACCCCCAATCCTTCTGCCATTAACTCTAATATCTCACATGCCACCTCTTTCACTGCTTCTGTATATTCACTTACCCTATACCTATATCCCAAATTCACAATCATCATACAAAAATAATCATGCCGTCACATATCGAATTCTAGACTAATATCTTATCGATAAGTCGTCAAATATTGAACTCTGGATCAACATCATTTACATATACATAAATGATATCGTCAAATATTGAACTCTGGACCAACATGATATACATAAATGATGTCGTCAAGTTTTGAACTCTGGATCAACATCATATACGTAAAATGATGTGACAAATATTTAAACACAAATCAATTGAGTTACCTCTGCTCAAAGAGGTGATTAATTAATTAATTAATTAATTAATTATGCTAACATCCATGTTTCTTAGCTGGTGGTGACTAAGAAAAAAGTAACAGAACTCAAGCTTTGTCAGTGTAACTAGTACTCTATCTGCTTCTGTTTTTGACTACTCACTGCATCTCTTTTTATTTTTTATTAATTTCAATTTTCACCTTTAATTTACTCAATATGTCATGCTTCAAACCTTTGCAATAACCTTATAATATTTACATTATTTATGAATAGTATGGTCCATAAAAAAAGAAAAATATATGGGGTTGATTTACATAGAGAAAAAGTTGAAACTCTGAAACTTTAACTATTCTCTCTCAGTATTCTTTTCTGGTCAGATACAATACAACTCATGGGAAGTGTAGTAATTTCAAAAGAAAACGTTAAAATTGTTCAATTCAATGAAATAAAATAGTCACGGGCAATGGCATATATTTATTTATCTATATGCTAGCCAATTAATATAACCTACTATAGCATGGTCCAAAGTAAAAAAAAAAGTTTATATATAGATAAAAATTATGCATAATTTCACGTTTTTATTTTGTATTTAAACTGATTTTTATATTTCAAAAAATTTGTTTAAATTATTTTTACGTAGATATATACTAATTTATATTATACTAGTCACTTTTAATTAAAATCAATTTTATCATAACCAAACATACTTATTATGCCGTTTTTAATAATAATTTTTTGAAAAATTTAAAAAAATTAAATTAAATTTAAAAATTAAAAAAAAAAAAAAAGAGGACAAAATTTTACTCTACCCATCTTATATTCGAACTCAGCTCTTATTATCACATGAGAATGTTAAATTTTTTGAAAAATATTTGTCATTTATTGTAATCTTCCCGACTTGAGAGATTAGTCTCTGCAGCTATACGTAGAGAATACTCAATTTCTATTTTAAAAAAGAAAAAAAATTCAGCTCCGAAGTTATTATCTCATGATTGAGTTTCAAAAATCAATGTAGTTTCAAATGAAGCCTTGTAAATAGAGAGGAAGTTGTTTATAAAGTATCACATGCTAGAAAAGAATAATGGAAAACAGAAAAAACATAATATAGTAATAAGCTAGTTTTGATGAGATACCTGAAGTTAGAATGTGGATCATGAATGGAAATAGTTTTAGATATTTGAGCAATGGAGGAAGAGTTAGCATTAAGAAGAAGATACTCAACTTCACCAATATCACCATTGAATCCAATATTCTTACAACCATAAGCTGGTGAAGATAGTTTCTTTTCACTCATTGGTTTTGCAAAGAAACTAAAACCAGCTTCTTCCATTTTATCAATAGTTTCATCACTAATACCATGGTTTATCACTTTGAAGAAACCAAACTCTTCACTTGCTTTCACAATGAGTTTTATTACCTCACACCTTTCACCTTTTAGGTCTATTATTGGAATCACATCACTTACTAAAATTGTTTCACTCCTATGTGGTTTTGGTGATGCCAATACCATAGCTAAAGTTAGAGTATAGAGAATTTTGAGAGATAGATATAAATGTATATATGTTTCTTTCTCTAAGTTAGAGTATGAATAAGGGAAGAAGTGAGGGATATATTTATAGAGAATAGACATTATAGTAATTTTAAATTATAATATTATAGGTTTGTCAAGTGGTGAATATACTTTTTTTTTTTGTGGAGAATCCGAATTGTTGATGAATTAATAAAGTGGACACTCTTTAGAACGCATTAGTAGCGTTATTTCTTTCAAAATTTCATTTTTCTATTAGTTGTTGATTTAAAAATTATATTTTGAATTTTTTAAATTAAATTTTTTAATAAAAAATATTATAGGATGATAATTTTTTTCTTTTCTTTTTGATGATAATGGG